TATAAACAATAGGAATTTTTTTCTTTCTTACAATTCTGGAGACCGAGAAGTGCAAGATCATGGCATCAACAGATCTGTGTCTTGTGAGGTTCTGCTTCCTGGTTCACAGATGGCAGCTTCTTGCTCTGTCCTCACATGGTGGAAGGGGTGAGGGAGCTCCCTTGTGCCTCTTTTATAAGGACACTACTCCCATTCCTGAGGCAGTGCTCTCAGGAACTTATCATCTACCAAAGATCCCACCACCACATACTATCAAATTGAGTATTAGGTTTCAATATATGATTTTTTTCTTTCTTTGGTGGGAGCGGGGGTGGGGAACAGAAACATTCAGCCATAATACCTACGAAGATGCAGATGCCTAGCCCACGTAATCCTCACAACGGCCCTATGAAACTAGCTTACACCCTCCTAGATAAGACAATGGTAGCTGGGGAAACAAAGTAAATTGCCCAAGGCCATAAAGCTAGCAAATAGTGGAGCAGGAAAAAAGCCTGGGCTCTCCCTGATCTGATGCCTGGAGCTGGGAACCAGAAGCCATTGATAATGAGAGAGACTCTGGGCTAACACTGCTGCCAAAGGGAAAGTTGTCTCATAATCTCTGCGTTGACATGCATCTGGATCCAGGCTTCGCTGCAAAAGCATGAGTTTTCTTGACACTTTATTTTGTCTCAGCACAAAAGCTCTATGGTGTACTTGCTTGTATGTGGTCATAAACAGCAGTTCACCAGAGTCCCTTTCTTTGTCCTCCTGTATTCACTGGTGATAGAAGCCAGCACACATGAAAAAATTTCTTTCTTATGGGCTTCTCTAGAAACCTTTTACTTTTCATCTTTCTTTCACATTCCTAACAGCTTTTCTCTCTTTCTTATTTATCCTTTTTTAAAAAATCTGTTACCCAACTTCCAGGCATTTAGCTTTCCTCTCACCTGATCTTAACCTATAGGAAACATCATAAAGTCTTTTCTTAAGCAAAAGATGGTAATGTGTTGAATAGTTTATCATTATTATCCAAGTTAGAAGTTGGAGTCTAATGACACTTTCTCAGTCTAGGTTGGCTGAATTGCTGCAGTTATTTCTCAAAGCCTTGACTAACTCGGATTATAAGTCTTAATTGCATATTACCCTGATCTCATGTTTATTTTATTTTATTTTATTTTATTTTGACATTAGTGACTTGAATGTGGAGAAATAAAGAATAATTGTAAGTGAAAGTGAAGCCCAACAAAGAATTCTGTTGAATGTGTGACCTCATCAAGGAAGTGGCCACAACCTTCTTATTTCTTGGCGATTTCTAATTTTTTTCTTTGTAACAGTGGACCTTGCTGAAGGAGACCCTAGAAATATTCAGTTTGCATAAACTGAGCCCAGGACCAACAGATTATTAATGTAGGTAACAACCCTAGGCATCTATACTTTCCAATCTGAGTTAATTCTATGTTCTCAGAGGCAAGGCCAAGATATAAAGGCTTGAATAATAGTGAGATTAACCCTTTTCTCAAAGGCAGGATCCATTGTTTGATCAAAGTATAAGCTTCCAATGCTTTGTTCCGACACAAATCTTGGTTCTTGTCATTTCTTCCACTCTTCCCATCTCATTCTACTTCACCAGGCCAGACTATAATTTGGGTTACCAGTAAAGGCAAGCTAGCATTCCCAACATCCTGTGACAAATCCTAAATTAATGACATTCAGAAAGACCTTAACATCTATAGCAGGCAAAAATATTCCTTCAAACATGCACACACACACACGCGCGCGCGCGCACACACACACACACACACACAGAGATTGACACAGATTGAGAGACAGAGAGTGTGTGTGTGTGTGTGTGTGTGTGTGCGTGCGTGCGCGCGTGTGTGTCTGTAATCATTGCTTTTAACACTAAAGACAATCTTTCTGAAACCCCTTAGTGGCACGGCCTGGTAAGGAAGACAGTGGCACCCAGTGGACAAATATTTGATTGTTTGAGACAGGTGTTCCATTCTGAAATATTCTCAAGAACATTCTTAGGAAATATCAGTTTCTCCCCTTTCCCTACCCTCTCATCCATTTGTTTTTAATGTCAACTTAAATTTTAAAATAGGAAACAGAGGACTGTTCTTAAAGTTTTTATCTTTTCAAGGAAAAGATCAGACTCAAACACTGGAGAAAGCAAAAATCTCAGGATTATATTCTCTGACAACAGTGTTGATTGACTCCTTTCAACAATAACAGTGAAGACAGCCAAATCTCATCAAATGCTCAAGTTAATTAAAAATGTAATATTGAAAATACCTGCAAGTGTGCTTTTACCCATCATACTCTCCCTTTCCTCATACCGTGGCCAACTTCCAATTCGACTTACTTGGTTATGCAAATTTGGCAGCTTCAAGAACTATACTTTAGTACAATTAATAAACACAGATCCTGCAACTTGATGCTATTGTGCAGTTTATCTTGGAGTCATATAAACACCTATTTTCATTTTCCATGTCTTCCAATTATTCTATTGTCTGTAAACTACTTGGATAGAGAGGCTCTGGTTTATATGTCTTTCTCCCCAAAACACCTAACCAGCACCTTACTGATGGTAAGTACAAAGAAGTTAAGTGAAATCCAGTTTCATTTTATATATTTAATCTGATAAATATTGAAAAAATAAATACATCGAATTGTTTGGTATTATACAAAGATATCATTAAACTAAGAATCTTAAATATTAGGGGCTATTTGTGAAACTGCCTTTGCAAAATTATGACAATGAAAGAAATAAGACCTAACTGACTCTATCTTGCTTCTAACCCTTAAGCTGTCCTTGTTCATTCTTGGGCATAGGCCGAACCAACTTTGGGAAGGAATTCAGTTTATGGTTTGATTCTGAAACAAAATTGATAATAGCCCTTTCCCGAAAATACTCCCTTCTTGCCTGGGGTCCAGTCTGCCTTTGCAGAACTAGCAAATGAGCTACAAGATTAGAAATTACAATTTAGGGGTCAGGTAACCTCTGGCTCCAAGAGTTTGAACCTCCCCATATTGTTCTTGGATTCACTATTGTAAAACCTAAGATCAATGCTTGACAAAATTTGCAGACCCTGCAATGAATGGATCAGCTGATACCACCCAGACTGTAATCTGGCCCAGCCAGTTCTGTCATTGCAACTAGGCACAGAAAACATGAAGAAAACCCAACTTCGACCCCCTATGATTCCATCTCCAACCTGACCAACCAGCACTCCCCACTTCCCAGACCCCTTCCTGACAAATTATCTTTAAAAATTCTGCTCCCCGTATGCTCATGCTTGGGGAGACTGATTTGAGTAGTAATAAAACTCCTATGGTCTCTTCCTTCACAGCTGGCTCTGCGTGATTTACTCTTTCCCCATTGCTATTCCCCTGTCTTGATAAATCAGTTCTGCCTAGGCAGCAGGCAAGGTGAACCCACTGGATGGTTACATTTGCAATGGATAAAAATATTTCGTAAAGAACAAAAGGATTGGGTATGCTTATGAGTGAATTGAATCTTACGGATTCAAATGAAATATTATTAAAAGCCATTTGTTTACCCAAAAAACCCCTTTGTATCTTCTTACTATAACCTAATCCCAGCAGGGGTGCCCTCCTCTAGTTATCCACTGAAAAATTCTTCCTGATTTGGAGACTCTGAAATTCTTAGTTTTTGTTTTTTGTTTTTTTTTTTTTCAGTGAAATGTTATCTCATGTTTATCATTATGTTCTTGGTAATTCTTAATTTTGCCGCAGTTCAAAGGCTTGTTTTTGTTTGTTTTAGAAAAAAAGAAGAAGTTGGCAGGCTAGAGCTATGGCTTGAGGCTGAGATGGAAACTTTTCCAAAAGGGCAACACATTTTTATTAACCGACACAAGTACCCTGTGACCCCTTGCATCAGTCGCATTTAGTCAGTAAACAATAAATAGATACCAAAGTAAGGGATGCATTTTTTTTCAGTAAGCTGAAAAAGAAATGAAGGGCGTTTGTGTGTATCACTGCATGACACATTAATCATACTTCTTTTTCTCATAACACAAGCACCTTTCCTCCTTAGTTTCTGCCAAAATTCTTATAAAATTCTGATGCAATTAGCTCTTACTGTACAAAGAGTCTACGTTTATTATTAAAAGTACCTTAAAATTCTTTTTAAAAAAGTATCTAAAACATATTTTTATCTAAACGTATCAATCCAGGAGAAATTTATAAACATGTCTAACATTGCAAGGCCTCCTCTATCCTTTTTCCTTCACTGACTGTTCACCAAGAGAGAGCACTGGGGGACCCAGACTCCAAGTGGCTTTGCCCTCTGGGGCCAAGCCTCTCTGATTAGGGGAAAAGGCAACAGTAGTTGCATTATTTGTGAAGTATAATCTTATTGGGAAATGTTCCAGCCCTGGCCTGCGCTTTACTGATAACCCACAGCCACTGCCTCTGAAATCATGGACCTGTTGTACATGCAAAGCACCTATATGAGGTGTCCAGGCCAGCTGGTGCAGGCCAGGCTCCACTTATCATCTGCTACTTTGCTTCTGTGAGTTTCAAAAACCAAAGAGGGATGTCAATATTTGAAACCTCTCTTCCAAGTAAAATTTCCTAAAAGAAAAGAAAATTACAACTGCATGACTCCTATCGGCTTTACCTTTGAGCTTATCTGCTGATAATGCAAATATGCTTTGTTTATTCTGGGAAACCACTTAGTTAAAGAAGATTTGCCTAACTCATGGCCTATGGTGAATGAAAGTCAAATAAAATATAAAGATGAAAAAAGTTTAAAGGCTTGCCATACAGACCAAAGTAAGCACTGTTATGTCTAAAATGAATAGAATGCTGTGTGTGTATGTGTGCATGTGCGCATAACTGCAATGTGTATGCATGTGTGTGTGTGTCTGTGTGTGTGTGTGTGTGTGTCTGTGTGTGTATCAGTAGAGGCAGAGGTTAAAACATGTGTTTACATTTAGACTTGCCATGCTGCGTACTGAGGAACATTTGTTTCCAGTTCCCGTGACAGATATTACCTGTTCAGATAAAGCTTTAGCCTTTTCTTCTGCTACTTTCAGGCTAATCTCCAAGGACTCAAGTTGGGCCAAGGTAAATGCCATCTGTCCAGTGTCCAGGGACACTTTCTTTAAAAAAAAAATTAAGTATTACTTTTTGACATGGGTAGTTTGAGCGCATCTCAAACAATCTTATAAACTAAAGATGTGCTTGATAAACTCACAGAAATCCTCCCCTTTTCTTAACACAAAAATAAAACAGCAAAATGTTTTAACAATCATTTTATTTAACATATAGCGTGTAAAACATGTAAAAAGCAAATGATGACAATGAACAGCTTTAGAAAGTTAGATTAAATAACTGTTATTGGAATTGGATTACTTTGAAACTTTCATTCTTACTTCAAAAGGTTAGGATTAAAATTTCACATTCCTAATGGAAGAGGCCACCTAGAATGTCTATGTTTTTAGGTGGAACAGAGTTTTAGTGGGAATAGAGTCAACTGAATTCAGAGAAACTTTGTTTTCTCTGATCTTCATCTGCTTAGCACATGCCATTAAAAGACAGATACCACATGTTTTAGAATCAAATCATTCTTCCCCAGAGCTTGCCTATATCACTCAAATCAGCAGATGTGTAGACTCTGACTCTCAAAATTTTTCCTTTTCTTCTTTTTTTTTTTTTCTAGTGGAGTTTCACTCTTGTCTCCCAGGCTGGAGTGCAAGGGTGTGATCTTGGCTCACTGCAACCTTCACCTCCTGGGTTCAAGAGATTCTCCTGTCTCAGTCTCTGGAGATTACAGGCGTTTGTCACCACACTTGGTTAATTTTTGTATTTTTAGTATAGATGTGGTTTCACCATGTTGGCCAGGCTGATCTTGAACTCCTGACCTCATGATCTGTCCACCTTGGCCTCCCAAAAGTGCTGGGATTACAGTCATGAGCTACTGCACCTGGCCTCAAAATGTTTCTAAAGTTACTTTTTCTCAGATACAAGCTAAAGAGTATGCAAAATTGGTATGAAAATATCAGGTACAGGCCCTACTGAGACTAGACACTTCCTAGCTACTCTTTTGCTATTGTTTATTCGTGATAATTAATAATTACAAAGCAATATGAAAAGTTGGAAAACCTCGTATATGCTAGGATGATGACCTTCCCATAGCTTCTCTGGATGTGTCCTGTTTCCTTATGAATACTCCTGCTCCTGCTGCTGCTTCCAATTAGCCCCATAAAGAATGAACTTCGTTCCTACATACCTTAAAGGTCTAACTTCTGCTTCATTTTTTCCCTCTGGTTTACGGGACCACTGATTTTACATGTGTGCATTTCCTGATGATACAATAGAGCCATCTGGTGGCAAATGCAACCAGGTGTAAAAATACAGCATTCATTCAGCTTCTATAATTGTTTGTACTATATGCTGAACCTCGAGGCTTTGCCACTGACCTCTGATATAAACAAAATTCTATGGGATGAGGGGCAAAAACATATTGCTATGTCAAAAGCAACCTGGTTCCACAGTCAAGTTCTGCCACTGTGGGTGCATACTCACCCTCAGAAGTTTGCCTTTAGGGAAGGAATACCTCAGGCTGGAATGGTGTTACTTGGAAGTGAACCCATTGTCTCGGATTCCTGATGGTTCCAGTAATTTAAAAAGTGGGTTCAAAAATTCTCCAAATAAAAGCCTCTAAACAAAATTCTTGTATATTTACACTTAGAGATGAATACATGCTGTAAGACATTATATGCAGAAATGGGGAATTGTCACAGGCCAAACTATTTTTAACAGACGGGGAATCCCTGATCTAGACTGCTATTTCCAGGGAAAATTTTCTTGTTGAATGTTTGATCCCAAGAGGAAGTTTTTAAAATTTCTGTGAGTAGACTCAGCAAGATCACTTAATCCATTTCTCCAGGACTTCCTCTCCAAACACCCAACATTTCCCCAGCCAAGAAGGGCAAACATTTCCGTAAGACAAAAGCATTGTAAGTCCAAGCCAAATGAAGCAGGCCTAACGGAGGACTATTATGAAATAACACAGGACTTTCTGTACAAATTTAGGAAATTGTCAGGTGTTTTAGGACAGGGAAAGACCTGAGCAAACTGTGAAGATGCAAAGTCGGTCTTCTGCACCCTCACTCCAGCTGCAGTGAGTGCTGGCTGCTCTCAGACCTCCTTTCACCTACCCTGGCTCCCTTTAGTGAAAGAACCTGTACAAAAGCAAGCACTTTTTAAATAGGAGGTAACCCCATTAACAGAACAAAGGCAAAGGAAAATGAAGTCAAAAACAATTTCAGAAATAAGTAAATACATAAAGATGGAGGTTTTGGAAGTGGGTATGTGGTTTCAAAGACTAAGAAAGTTAGATGTACTCAGTCGTTGTCTGGTGCAATGGCAGAAGGGCAGAAAGACAGGACTTCCATTATTAATTTTATTTTACTTCCAGGTATGTTCGGACACATACCATTTGTGGTAATAATGAAAATGAATATTCTAAGTGGTTAAACTAGTTGCAAGTGAATTATATTAATCGACAGTCTGTTACATGATATCAACATGATGAAAATATAGGCAATATATAGGTGTTTGGGAATTGAACCTGTGTGTGGATTTTCACATGGTAAATTCCAACCATTTAATAATTCCCACTGTTATTTTCTACTTTTTATCTTAAAATTGTGTACCTAAATAGAAGGTTATTATCTAAATACATATACCTAATGTAGCCAAGATGAGCAATCTAAAATGATACCAATTAACACTAAAAATTCAATAAACTCTGATTACAGTAAAGATATCTGGCTGTTATTATGCATGGACGTTGAGGTTGGTAGTCTACTAATTGAACTAATCTTACATGACATTGTTAGAGCAGACTTCATTTTGGTTGCAAAGGTTTCTCATTTGGGAATTTAAAGAAAGATTTACATATTATTTTCTAATTTTGTATTTCTTGATTTCTTAATCTATTCCAGGACCTTCTCATTACCCACTACCTTGCTATTAAGTCTTTATTTCTCTGTCCTAAAATAACAACTATACAAACTCTTTGACCCTTAAGGATTGGCTCAAGGTTTCCAACTGATCCAACTTCATGTGCCGTATCTAGAAAGGTTCCTGTCTGCAGAAGCCAGAAAGGACTTTGCTGAACAGTATGTAGGAGCCTGATAAATAATTGTTGATTGATTAGAGGCTTGGAAGTCAAGGAAGGTGATTGCACCAGAATGAGCAGTCCTTCATGCTGAGAGGCTATAACAGTGACTTCTTTGAGCAATACTTTTCATGCATCTGAGCTGGGACATTGACAGGGATCAGAGCCACAGAGAAATTCTCCTTGCCATGGTGAGGGGCCAGGTTGTGCAGATGAGGGCAAGAATGTGGTCACGAGATTAAGTGATGATAGGGTTGTTGTAAGAATTGATTTGACGGATGAAGTGCTCAATAAATGTTAATAATTCCATTATCCCAATTCCTTTAAAGAGAATAATTTGATATTAAGGCTCTAGCTTATTTTAAAACCCTAGTAAAATAAAATACCTATAGGGACACTTTTGTAACAGCAGTGGGAAATTCAGTCAAATTTGTAATTAAGAACAGTTAATGTATTAAATACCTGCATATGCATTTATTTAAGAGCAAGATTTCTAACTAAAAGCGTGGTTATGGCAAATTTCACCTTTGTGGAAGAACATTTTGATACAGGTCAGTTTTAGAGAATTCAATGTCTCTAAAATCTGAGGCTTCTAATATGTCAGAGTTCCAGCAGCAGCTCCTGCTCGGTAGTACAGTAACTTCCTGCCAGATAGACACATTTGCAAATAACCTGTTTGATATATATTCATTACTGCTGTCCGTTCCTCTCTCCTTTGCTTGACAGTCATTTATCACCCTATTCTTCCTTACCCTTCTGCAACCTCCTCATTTTCTCATGCAGACTCAAGTCTTTCCTCAGCTGATCATCTTCCCCCCGACCCACCACCCATGTCTCAGCCCCTCACCCTGGGCACATTTATTTCATCTCTCCCCGCTCGCCTTTCATGATCAGAATTCACGTCACAGTGGTAATTTCATCATTCTCATGTTCTTTTGTGTTGAGCCTTTGCAATAGTTTCTTACACTAAATTGCCCATTTCTACTTGGGCAAATATTTAAAAACTTAATTTTCCTGGTTCTAATTCATTCCAGTGAAAATGGCATTCCTCTGTGTTTGGGTTTGCCTTAATAGTCACCTAAGAAGACATTTAAATTTGAAATGTGAACCAACTACAACTAGTTGTTGGAATGCATATCAATAAGCTGAGCCCTGGGAGGATGGTGGCCCGGATGAACACCACCTAAGGGGCATTCTGCTTGTAATCTGGAAGGCCATGGTCTATGTCTTACTTGATTTTAATTGACTGTGTGACTTTGGGCCAGCTACTTCTTTGTCTGCACCTCAACATTCTCATCTTTAAATGAAGAATGTACTGATCAAGGCCAGGAGGAACTAGATGGCCACTCCAACGCAGAAACTGAGGAGAGTTAAACCAAGGGACAATTTAGAAGGCACGAGTAAGATTAAAGGACTCAACAAAGGTTGGTGAGATATTCCCCGGAAGTATGGGTGCCCTTTGTCTTATCTTGACCTGAGGAGGTAGGGGAAGAGCAAAACTGCTGTGTCTAGAAAGAAACCTTGAGGAGAGGAACACAGTCACGACCAACGATGTCTAGACAGTCATGGTGGTTGGAGGGCAGCGGGGAGGGGAAATAAACTAGCGGAGTAAGTAGCCTGACTTTGTCTCCTCTCATCCCTTTTTCCTGTCTGTGTCTTGCTTGAGCTGAGCTCAGCAAGCCAGAGGGCAAGAGAGCCCAAATAAATGTCCAGAGAGATCAGTGTTCCCTGAAAAGATGACACTTGGGAAGGGTGGAGAGTTGATAGGGAGGAAGAAACCTCAGCCCAAATGGGTTTAATTACATTAGTGGTTCCCAAATGCCACCTCATAGATCAGGGTGGTTTGTGATAACACCTGCGCCAGCCAGCAACAAACGGACAAGGCACACTTTTAAAGAGAACATGTGAATTGTTCATGAAGTCAAATTGATTCCACTTTAAAGACTGCCCTTCATTCTGAGATTGTAATC